TTTTCGACAGGTTGGTGTCGAATTTTGTTTTTTTTTTTCTTTTTTTTTTTTTTTTTTTCGACACGTTGGTGTCGAAAATTGACCAAAAAATCGACCTGTATGTGTCGAAAATTGCCGACGGGTTTCAAAAAAAAAAACTTCAAAATCGACTTCGAAGCTCAAAAAAGACATCGATACTTACCTTAATGGCTTCTCTTTCCACATATACTACCATATTATTGTCTTATAACTCCATTTTATAAGTTTTGTGAGGTTTTGATTTTTTGAATTTGGAGATGTTTTGGAGGATTTAAGAAGATGAAAAAGATAGGGTTTAATTGGGTTGTCGCGGCAGTTACGAGCACGTACGGTGGCGTTCGGCGGCGTCGGCGTCGGCGGCAGCGGTGAGGGTTGGAGAGGAGAAGAAATGGTGGAGGTTTTTTTTTTTTTTTTACAACAAAGGGGTTTTTTTCTTTTTTTTTTTATTTGGTTTTTGAATAGGTAAATTCTAAAAAAAATTGATATAATTGATATTTTGTATGAAAGGGTGTTTTTGTACTTTTCTTTTTATTTTGGTATTAAAGTAAGAAAAAACTGATAAATATGTACTCAATTTTGGTTTTAAACTTGGTAGTATTCAAGTAAGCAAAAGTTGGGATTTAAAATAGTTGCCCCCTTTCACCAAAGCAAAAAAGGAAATTATTGTTTTGCAAATTGCGATTTTACCCCTTCTTTTTACATATATTGACAAATAACCCCCTAAACAAAGATAAATACATTTTAACCCAAGGTAATTACTACCCTCTTTAATCAAATACATCCAATTGAACTAGGTTTTTTCTCTTTCTTTTCTTTTTTTCCCCCAAAAAATTTTATTATTCCATTATTATAAAAATATTGGGGCCTCGTTAAATACTGCACCTTGAACTAGTTAAAAACTTAAAATATCAAATACTGCACCTTGATCTCAATAAATTTAAATTGATAAACATAAATATTTTTTCATCTCTTTCTCATGTTATTTTTTTTTTCTTTCTAATTCAGTTGAATGTAACTTTATTTGAACTAGATGATAGTCTTTTTGCAAAACGACTAAATTAAATAAACTTTTCTCGTAAAAGTTACACTACGTACACCAAAATAGGATTTCTCAGCCGCAATAATTTATGATTTCTAACGGATATATACTGTCAGTATCTATCCATCCGTTAGAACTTTAACCTATGTGCTAGTATTAATAACAAGTTAATTGTATTTATTCTGTAACTGTTTGAAAATTATTTGTAACCGTTACTATCCGTTAATAATAAGTCATCTGAGTCCAAGAGACGTCGTACTTCTCGGGTCGTACTGTATCGTACTAGATCGTACTTAAAATCAACGATTATGATTACTTACTCAATATTTTTAAGGCACCAGATTCAATCATTTAGGTCCGAGAAGTATAATGTCTCTTGGATCCTAGACAACCCCTACTTATTATACTCTACCCTTCATTTCATTCATATAACTGAAGTGCGATCAAACTTATCAATATATATTCGTTAGAACTTTAACCTATGTGTTGGTATTAATAATAAGTTAATTGTAATTTTGTAACGGTGTGAAAATTATTTGTAACAATTATTACCCGTTAATAAGGCATTTTGAGTCTTTCAAGTAAATTTATTATTGTTCTACCCTTCATTTCATTTACTTAACTTAATTGCGATCAAACTTATTTGTTGTGAAATTTAGTGTTGTGAAATAAAAATTAAAAAACACATAAAATAAAGCATGCAATGAACATAAATATAACGTGGTTCAGATTAGAAGATTCGTACATCCACGGAGCAACGTAATTGGATTTATTCAAGTATCAAAGAGGTGAATCTTACAACACACAACGCACACAATCAAGCTCTCAGAAACCCTTGCGCAATGACAGTTCTGGTTTTCAAGCCTTTGTTATCTCTCTTCCTCACGTTTTCAGTGTATTCAGAATGTCACGATAAACAACGTAACTAGCTCATCTATACATAGAGTAGAGTATATATATATACTACGGCAATACACATTTTCCACACGTACAAGGAAACCTAGCAACGAAATCTCAGCAAATCTTCACGTTCATGTCATGATGATTGTATGCTCACCGCTTGATCCTTCTTAGCTTCTTCAGCTTCAACTTAAACATATCTTAACATTATCTAAAGAGAAATGACTAATTGGAATAAACTATAACTGAAGTGTGACCATACTTGTCAAAAGCGAAGATTTT